GCCACCATTGCAGATCTACGAAAAGAAGTCCTTCGTCTCACCGCAGAGTTTGAATGAGAAACAATCTCTAGTATCCAAACTTTTTTGAAGTCGCTGGTGGGCAGCATTCACGGCTGATGTCACTGAGCGCTGCATTATTGTGACACTGTCGTGTGGGAGAGATCCGTCAGCTCCGGACCCTCCTGTTCTACACCTAAGCGCGCCGGTTCCAGAATAACGAGCCCCGCGGATTCCGAGGAGCCATCCTGCGCCGTGGCCCATGTCCTGAGTCTGGCAAACCGCTATGCAGGGCCCTCTCCACCGACATCCCGGCCCCCTCAGCAGAATCCCTGGACACTGCAGCGTACTCTACTGCTCGAGGATCCAAGTCCACTACGAGGAAAACGCTCCTAAAGGAAGCAGTCCTCAGGCGAAAGAGCGGTCCACCAGCCATGTTGGCCTGTTCCCCTTCTTTGACCCCAGTGCAGCAGCCTCAGACTGGGGTAGCGAGCCATCATTACCACCGCTCACCTCCACCGGGTCAGCAGCAGCGCCCAGAGCCAGCCCCTCTCACGCGCTCCAGCGTCCCCGAGCACACAGCGTGGGTCGCCTGTAGCTGAGAGTCAGCACCCCCGCTCCTCCTCTCCATGTGTTCAGCGGCGCTCAGGCTCCGGTCCTGCTTCGGGTGAACCCGCTGGTTCCGTCCACCGAGCTCCTTCTCCGAGGCCACTCTTCGCCCCCGACCACTCTGATTATTGGAGATTCCATCGTGAGACACGTCCGCTTCTTCAACGCGGTCACTCGCTGTATTCCCGGAGCTACTGTACCAGACCTGCTCATCCGTCTCCCTCCTCTGCTTCAGTCCCTGCCTGATACCGTTTCCAAGGTAGTCGTGCATGTGGGAATTAACGACATGAAACTTCAGCAGTCAGAAGTCACGAAGAAACATTTTATGGATCTGTTCCACCTCCTTCAATCCTCCGGACTATCTGTTTTTATTTCTGGTCCAATCCCGACTGTAAACAGAGGTGACTGCCTCTACAGTCGTGTTGTGGCGCTGCATATGTGGCTCCAGGCTACATGCAGCTCTTTTAACTTTGTCTTTGTGAATAACTTTGCCCTTTTCTGGAAACGTTACGAAGCCTATCGTCCAGACGGATTACACCCAAACAGATACGGGTAGCAGCCTGTTGATGGATTACATGCGTCATGTTGTTCAGCGTTCCCCGAGGGGGGCGTGACTGTTTACATCTGAGCCCCCTCGGACCCCACCGCACTCCCCCGCCTCCTGCTCACCAGCACCGGGTGAGTACAACGGTGCAAACACTGCTCCCTGTCCGTCTGGCAGTGCATTACCAGTCCAAACACTGAACTGTGCTGACTCCCTTCTGACTCTGGGAGCTAAAGAACAACAAGGGTTTTCACATTTTAGGCCAATTGAGACTGTGTGTGTTCCTCGCACCAGCTCAAAAATGTTTTTAAATTCTAAAAAAACGAAATCAAAACAGGACAGCAGTTAGACGGTCCAACTCTGCAAATCTAATTTCTGTTCCCTGTAGAAATCAATCAACCACATTAATCGACTCTGACGTTATTTTTAAACTTGCTATGCTTAATGTCTGATCTCCTATGTAACAAATCATTTTTAATTAATAATTTTATCACTTCTTATGATCTTGATTTTATGCTTATGGCTGAAACATGGCTGGACCAAAATACAGGAAATGCAGTTCTAATAGAAGCAACACCACCCAATTTTAAATTCGAATCCGAAATACGAGAAAACAAAAGGGGGGGAGGCATAGCTGCAGTTTTTAGAGAGCACTTTGTCTCCCATAGAATGCCCCTTGGAAATTTTTCATCGTTTGAGTATATTTCTTTTAAAATGGAACAAAAGCAATCTTCTACTCTTTTCATTGTCCTGTACAGGCCACCACAGTCATGTTGCGATTTTATTGACCATTTTACTGAACTACTTTCATTCGTGTGCACAGATTTTGATAGTTTAGTTATTACAGGTGATTTTAATGTACATGTTGATAATGTTGATGACAGAAATGCAAAGGAGCTGGCTTCTGTATTTGAGACCTTTGGTTTCATTCAGCACGTGAGTGGCCCCACCCACAGCAGGGGGCACACTCTTGACCTGCTAATTACAAAGGGGGTTAATGTATCAAATGTTAATGTAGTTGATGTTGCTTTGTCAGATCATTTCTGTGTATTTTTTGACATGTGTTTTGCTAGCAAACCACCAGCTGAATTTACAATTGTTAGAAGAAGACACATACATGAAAACACAAGTGAACTGTTCATGGGAATGCTAAATTTTGAGAAAACTCCATGCTCTACTGTTGATGAATTGTATAACTCTGTCACCACCAGTGTTCTGACTGTTCTGGACGCCATTGCTCCTGTGACGGTTAAAATAGTTACCAGTAGTAAGAAAAAGGGCCCCATTAAGGCACACTTTTTGCGAGGGCCGAACGGAAGTGGCGAAAGTCCAATTTCCAGTATTATGAAATCAAAGATGAGTTCAATTAACCGGGTTCTACGTAGAACAAGAGAAATGTATTTTTCACCTCCACAGCACGTATAACAATGCAACAGCCAGAGAAGCTTTTTGAGCTAACTCACTTTGCAACAGCTGTGGATACTGAAACTGTCAAAAAGATAATCATGAGTCTGAGCTCCTCCACATGTAGCCTGGATATATTGCCCTCTAAATTTTCTGAAGTCCGTCCTGAGCAGTTTGTTACCTTCACTGACACAAATAGTAAACATGTCTCTGTCGTCAGGAACATTTCCTATGGCCCTAAAAACAGCAGTCATAAGACCTCTCCTAAAAAAGAGCAGTCTGGATCCTGCGGGACTTCAAAATTATCGCCCCATATCGAATCTGCCATTCATTGGAAAAATTCTTGAAAAAGTGGCCTCCCAACAACTTACTGAATTTTTAACAATGAATAATTCTTTTGATATGTTCCAGTCTGGGTTTAGACCCCATCACAGCACTGAGACCGCTCTAGTGAAGGTAACAAACGACATTCGACTTCACACTGATGCAGGTAAAGTCACAGTTTTGGTCATGTTAGATCTTAGTGCCGCGTTCGACACTGTCGACCATGAGATCCTCATGCAGAGACTGGAGGACTGGGTTGGTGTCACTGGCACAGCCCTAGACTGGTTTAGGTCTTACCTGGAGGATAAGAAGTACTCTGTGGAGATTGGAGACTGCGTCTCAGATGATGTGGCCCTGACCTGTGGAGTACCACAGGGGTCGATCCTGGGACCTCTCCTATTTAATCTCTACATACTGCCGTTAGGTCAGTTAATACAAAGAAACAAAGTGTCCTACCACAATTACGCCGACGACACTCAGATCTATGTCTCACTGACTGCAGGAGAACATGGACCACTGGATTTGCTCCTTCACTGTATCCAACAGATCAGTGACTGGATGCAAAATAATTTCCTCCAGCTAAATGCAGACAAAACCGAAATCATTGTCTTTGGTCCCCAGAAACAAAGAGAGGGCGTCATTTGTCAACTTCAGTCTCTCTCCCTACTTCCTTCAGACAAGGTCAGAAATTTGGGGGTAATACTGGACTCAGACCTAAATTTCAATAGCCACATAAAATCAATAACATCAACAGCTTTTTACCATCTGAAGAACATTGCCAAAGTTAGAAATATAGTGTCCAGGGCAGACTTGGAGATTCTTGTCCATGCATTTGTCTCCAGCAGGCTAGACTACTGCAATGGCCTGCTTACAGGTCTGTCCAAACAGACCTGTAAGCAGCTGCAGTACATCCAAAATGCAGCAGCTAGAGTCCTGACAGGAACCAGGAAGTATGACCATATTAGTCCGGTCCTCAGGTCTCTGCACTGGCTTCCTGTGGCTCAAAGAATAGATTTTAAAACGGCTCTGCTTGTGTACAAGTCTCTCCATGGCCTTGCACCAGAATACATTAGTGACATGTTGGTGTCATATGAACCGGCCCGGACTCTGAGGAGCACAGGGACTGGCCTCCTGCTGGTGCCCAGAGTGAGAACCAAACATGGGGAGGCTGCGTTTCAGATCCATGCAGCTAAGATCTGGAACAATCTCCCTGAAAATGTGAGGGAGGCGTCTACTCTGTCAATGTTCAAATCCAGGTTAAAGACTGTTCTGTTTGCCTGTGCATACAACTGAAGGATTTTATCTCCATTTCTAATGCACTGCTGTCATTTTTTTTTTTTTTTAAATTTCTTGTGTAATTTTGAAAGTTTTAATGGTTTTATTCTTTTGTGTGATTTTAATGTTTTAATCGTGTTTTAATCTTTTGTGTGATTTTAATGTTTTAATTGTGATTCTGGTGTTTGTTTTATGTGATGATTTGTGATGTGGACTGTGAAGCGCTTTGTGTTGCCCTGTGTATGAAAGGCGCTCTACAAATAAACTTTGATTGATTGATTGATTGATATACCTCTTTCAGTCTTACATAAAGTTCTTTAGGGCTCTCAGCTGGGTCAACGCTGAGAGACCGGAACCTTTGTCTGTAGGTCTCTGCATTTATATCATACTTTTGTAAAATAGCCATTTTAACATTTTCATAGTCATGGGCCTCATCCATATCCATGTGCACATAAGCAGCTCTAGCTTTCCCAGTGAGCAAAGGAATAAGCCGGAAAACCCAGTCTGTTTGAGACCATCTACAAACTACTGCAATTCTTTCAAATGTTATGAGATAGTGTTCAATATCATCTTCACTTGTTAACTTTTCAAGCCTTGGTTCATGAAATGATTGAGACTGACCTGTGAGCACATGGCATGCTGTGGAGTCTTTAGGCTTTAGGCTTGTGTAGGCCCATGAGGGAGGAGCTTTCTCCTCTGCAGGACTGAGCATTGAGATTGGAGGCTCAGGATCATCTCCAAGTTCCACACTGTAGAAGACTTCTGGGCACTGTACAACCACATTCAGCTGTCCAGTAACCTCGTGTCCGGCTGCGACTACTCCCTGTTTAAGGATGGTATTGAACCCATGTGGGAGGACGAGAGGAACCGCAGAGGAGGCCGCTGGCTCATCACTCTGTCCAAGCAGCAGCGAAAGGCGGACCTGGACCGCTTCTGGCTCGAGACGCTGCTGTGTCTGGTGGGAGAAGCGTTTGACGACTACAGCAAAGACGTCTGCGGAGCAGTCATCAACGTCCGCGCCAAAGGAGACAAGATCGCCATCTGGACCACGGACTACGAGAATCAAGAGGCCGTCACTCACATCGGGCGCATGTACAAAGAGAGATTAGGAGTCCCCCCTAAAGTGATCATCGGGTACCAGTCCCACGCCGACACGGCCACGAAGAGCAGCTCCAGCAACAAGTTTGTGGCCTGACTTACTCCTGAGTCCAAATGGAGAATGCAGAGAACAGACATTACACTGAGTCTTGGACCAAAGGTGAGAAGCTTGTGTTAACTGCAGCATTTTGTTTCATTGAAGACTTGGATCCAAAATGCAATGTTTTTGTTTTCAAATGTTGTGCTCCCTCTCTTTCCCGTTTTACCTCTTGCTCCTGCTGCTGTCCCATAAAGGCCTGTAAAATACCTGCCAGGTCTGAAACTGTTGGCTCCCTGCTCCCAGCCTCTCCCTTTTCTCTGGCTCCATTTTCCTCTTCATTCACTTCCTCTTGACTTTCTTCAGATTCTTCTCCATGTTCCACTATTGTATCAACTTTCCCAGCGGTTTTAGCTCCACCTCGGGTGACGGGCTTGTCTTTCCCCATTTCTCCCCCCAAAAAATATGCAGGAGGATCCAGGTGGAAAAGTACAAAAAATTATCAAAACAGGTGTGTTCTTGACCAGATTGATCCCACCACTGCCACCAAATGTAAGGGACCGATGGTGTAGCAGGAAACACACAAACTGTTTAATTACTAAGGCTTTTTAATTAGCCAAAAAATAAGCCAAACAATACAAATAAATGAGGCCAAAATCAAATGTACAACTGAACATGACAAACACTGACCTAACACAAGACACACCAGGGGAACATTTAAGCTGGATGGTCAGACCAACTATTAACTAAAGGGGGTAAACAAGACTACACAAAACAGATACATTTACTTAACTAATTAAGGATAAAGTTAATAGTAATAATATGACTAATAATAATAATAATAATAATAATAATAGATGAATGCTAATATATGCTTATACTGAATATTAGAATATAAACTCAAATGAATCTCCCCAAACATCCCCTCTTCTGGACCTGCCATGGTTCAGGCCATAGGGTGGAGCCTGGAGGTAACACCCTCAGCTGGAGTGGGTGGAGTCAGCTCACAGGAGTGTTAGCTCCAATTGTGAGGGAGGAGTCAGCCCTCACACAAACGAACTTCGAATATGATTTTTGTGCAAAAGTTCATAGCCCTAGTTCGCGCACTGCAGCATGGCTGGCCTTAATGAAGCTTGTTTGTAGGAGCCTTGTTGTTTGCAGTAGAAGCCGCGGTGCGGAGGGTTCAGTTACCTGTACCCAGGAAAAGAACAAGTGGGTCATGCTAACCTATGTCAAACAAGTGCCCTACAGTATATTCCAATTTGCGAGATGGATTTCAAATCTGCAAAAACGAAACATTAACAAAAATGTAAACCAAACAAGTCCGGAAAACCATAAAAACTGAATTTGTCCTTGTCACGCTTGCTGTTAGCACAATGAAACACGGCACAGTTGTATTGTCAGGAATGAAGCAGACAGAGACGGATCGTGGTGCGCCAAACTCTGGAAGTTTATTTAAGTTTCTCTCAATTTCCAGTGGTTTCCATTGTTTCTTTCTCTCAGACAGAATGGAGTCAGTACACAGTTTATATAGTCATTGTCACGTCACACATCGAAAGACATACGCGTCACACAGAGCCAGTCACATCATAGTCAAAATAATCAGAGTCCTTGTACAGTCCTGCACGTAGGCCATATTGCTATCTAATACTAACACTATGGTATTGCTTCAAAGAACTTAAATGACGCTTGAAAGACTTCGCTTGAAAGATTTCATAACACTTTGAAGCAACTTTTGTTAAAGTTAAACTCAGCATTCTATCAATGTGCAGAAGCCAGTACTTTTCCCTTGTTTTGTCTATCTGAAGGCCAAGCTACATGGCACCGTGGCAGCTGCTGATTGGAGGTCTCCATGCCTCCGCTCTGTATAATACACTTGCATTCTGTTGTATCTGTTGTTCGTGCTGTCTCTACCATCGACAATAAAACAAGTCTTCTGTCTGAATTTAAGACACGATCCCAGACATGTCATCTTCTTCAGGTGGTGGAGGATGCGGGCATTGTCTGTAACATCTAGAGAACAGGAGACTTTTTTTTCAAGCCAAAACTGAGAAACCTCAAGAGAATGCATCTGGACCAGCACACTTGAACAATCTGCACAGCCCCTGATTCCAGTCAGGCCTGCTGTGAGCTGCTGAGACATGGACAATACCATCGTCCTCTTTTGCATGGACATGATTTGGAACAATCTGGATTTCTGAATTTGGACATAATTTGGACTGAATTGGATTTCTGAAGCTGAAACGTGTGATTGAAATAAACACGTCACAGAAGAACTCATGGCTCAACACAGATGCAGCCTGAAGAAATCAACATAGAGAAGTAGGAGAGACTGTTTTCAAAGCAATATCTGGAATCCCCATCGACTGATGAAGTTTGGTATTTTACTGAAGATTGTTGACAAGTTTTATGAAAGATCTGAACATGTTTTATGAGTTTTTGAAGTATTCCGAGTTCTGAGTTTTTTGAAGTACCGAGTGAAGTACAGAGTTTATGAGTTTAAGTATTGAGTTATGATGTTATGTTGCTGTTTATCGATCCTGATGGTCACACGGGAATGTGTGACCAGAGGGGGGAATGTGAGATTTCATAACACTTTGAAGCAACGTTTGTTAAAGTTAAACTCATCATTCTATCAATGTGCAGAAGCCAGTACTTTTCCCTTGTTTTGTCTATCTGAAGGCCAAGCTACATGGCACCGTGGCAGCTGCTGATTGGAGGTCTCCATGCCTCCGCTCTGTATAATACACTTGCATTCTGTTGTATCTGTTGTTCGTGCTGTCTCTACCATCGACAATAAAACAAGTCTTCTGTCTGAATTTAAGACACGATCCCAGACATGTCATCTTCTTCAGACTCTAGTGTGACATTAGAGAGAGTGTGGCCCATGGATCTATTATATTAACTGGATAGAGTATTACTAGCTTGTAGCTGAATAACTCATGTGCTCGGGGGATTCTCGCGGTACTGCAGACTGAACCAGACTAAATTCACGTGGGCTACCCAGAAATTTTCCCCATAGAACTCAATGCATATTAAAACAGCTCAACCTCAGTTGACAGAGAACCTACAGCTTTCATTAAGGTCGGATTTTAGTGTCCCTTGTCATCCTGAACTTTTTTTCTTCTTAAATCCTTCGGTTTTGTTTAAATCCACACTTTAGTGCCACAAACTCTGCTCGTCTGGCTCCCGCTCTGATGAACTGCTCTGATTGGTCAGAGCCATAGACTGTATATAACAACGGACAGAGTCACGCCTATCTCCGCCGTTTATAGGAGTTGGCCATGAAAAGTGCTTTCATGGAGCAATCCAAGATGGCAGCGAGTGGTCCCGCCCACAAGAAAAATGTGAAAAAAGGCATCTGCGCATGCGTCAGCCAGCGCAGCTCCATTCATTTGAACGAGAGACTTCAAAAATTCACCCCGAGTAAAATAGAGTGAACCAAAAAAATTCACCCCCCTCAGCATTGACACACATGTGGAACGGAGCTTTGGGCCAAGAGCCAACTTTTGGTCCATCCCGTAAAGACGTTTTTGAGAGGTCTGCCAATGCTATATGTTAGCATTGGCTAATTCTTCTCCTGGGTCCACCCCCATCGGCCCGGGGTGGTATTGCAAGCATGTCAGCGCACGTCATTTTGGCCACTTTTGAGCCGGGACCCGCCCCCACTGGTCAGAGCGCAGCCGAGCCCCTCTGTGCACGTGCGTGAGACCCGGTGTGAGACCCACACACGCGTGTTTGGCGCAACACATTATGGGAGATAATCCACTGCGCAGGACCGGGAGGACCAGACGATGCCCAAATACAGGCAAGTTTCCCATAGATCTTTGCGAGTTTCCCATAGATCTTTGCGAGTTCCAGGCGACTTCCGCTAATCTTTCAGCCCCCATGCCGTCACAAAGCGCCACTGAGCACAACCATTCATTTGAATAGGGCGCCATCTTGGATCGCCGGGGCTTGGTGTGACCATACAGCTACAGCAGCTACTATACCACCGGCATGGCCGACCTCCGGTAAGCCGAGCCTTTTTTTCACAGGATGTGACGTCACGTGAAAGTGATTTTTTCATTTTTTTTGTAAAAAAAAATAACTTTCTGTATTGCAAAATATTTTGTTTGGATTGCAAGTCTATATGGTCCGTGTACTTTTGCGTTCAACACATTTTCTGTTTTTGAAGGGAAATGTGCACGGACCCTATGTGGTGTCCATTCTACTCATGGTGCTACGTCCCTTAGACTTCGCTAGTGGGATATCACTCGTGACCCCTCAGGTCACACGCCCAGAGAGATCAAAATAATTTGCTCCAATCACCAGCCACCGTCCTCTATAAATGCCCCTGCACAAGGCCGCACCCCCTCTTTCACTCTGGCGCCGTTTGAGATCTACTACAGTACTTACTTCATTCTGAGATGTCTTCCTTGTTCGTCCGAGTTCCCTTCGCCCTCCGGCGTCGGACGTCATCGCTGGATCCAGACGGTGGAGGACTTCACCTCTGTGGGCGCCACCACTCGAGGGAGGAAGAGGATACAACCCACGTTGTGCCCGCGGATGGACCCGTTCGTCCATTACGCGACACGTGAGCTGCCCCTAGCAGCCAAGAGGCCTGCTCTGGGGCACGACATGTACTGCAGCGGGCAGGACTGGTCCTGGACCGGTTATCGAGGATTCAGTCCGCAGGGCCCTGCAGCCCTCCGCATCCGTGTGGCCCGGCACCAGACCTCTCCTTCCCTCCGAGCGGGACAGGATGTCTTGCCGATGCTGGATAGATGTTACGCCAATGCGGCATAGGTTGTCGCATTGGCTAACAACATGGCATTCATCACGGGGGCCCTGGATAGGTCGCTCTCCTCTGGCCAGGCGCTCAGTCACAGGGTACTGCTGCACTTTGCTCCTCAGCTGCAGGGGAGACACGTGATGGTGCGCTCAGACAACCTCACCACAGTGGTCTCCTATCTGAACAGGCAGGGGGGCACCAGGTCCCCCACTCTCCATCGCATGGCGACGGTGACGCTGCTGTAGGCGGCGCTTCACCTCCTGTCTCTCAGGGCGCGCCACGTCCCGGGGGTCCAGAACGTGGGGGCCGACAGGATGTCCAGGGGGGGCCACTCCAGGACGAGTGGGGCCTGGCCCCACGGGTGGCTGCGGAGATCTGGCGGAGGTTCGGCCGTCCAGTGGTCGACCTTTTCGCCAGTGCAGAAAACGCACAGTGCCCGTCCTGGTTCGCCTTAAGGGCCGCGGACGAGCCGCCCTTAGGCGTGGACGCTCTGGCTCATTACCCCTGGCCAGGGGGCCTGCTGTACGCTTTCCCACCAGTGCGTCTCCTGCCGGTCCTGCTGCGGAGGATCGAACAGGAGAGGAGGTCGGTGATCCTTGTGGCTCCGGACAGTCCGCATGCCCGGTGGTTCCCCTTCCTGAGGGGCATGGCGGTGATGGAGCCCTGGGCCCTCCCGGACGAGCCGGGGGCTCTAGTCCAGGGGCGAGGAGCCCTGTTTTCACGCCCGATAATCGGCCGCAGGCTCTGGGTTTGGAGGCTGAGAGGCGGAACCTCGTAGACCTGGGTCTTCCCCCTGCGGTGGTGGAGACCATTCAGGGGGCGAGGGCGCCGTCCACTGTGAGGGCCTACGCCACGAGGTGGAGGCTCTTCAGCGACTGGTGCGGTTCCCGTTCCTGGGATCCCAGGCGTTGCCCGCTGGAGGGGGTCCTGGGATTCCTACAGGAGCTCTTTGACAAGGGGAGGGCTGTCGCCACCTTGGCGGTGTTTGCGGCAGCCATTACTTCGGGTCACGACGGATTCGGGGGGTTCACAGCCCGCTCTCATCCGTTGGTTAAACGTTTTCTGCGGGGGGCGCGCAGGAGGAGGCCCCCGCTCCAGAGAACGCCCCCGCTCCAGAGAACGCCCCCGGTTTGGGACCTCAGGGTGGTCCTTAGGGGGCTGTCGGGTCCGCCTTTTGAACCGGCGGCGGAGGCGAGTCCCGAGTGTGTCGCTTTTAAGACGGCCCTCTTGTTGGCGTTGGCGTCTGCTAAGAGGGCGGGCGACTTGTGTGCGCTCTCTGTCCATGCGTCTTGCCTGTCCTTTGGAGAGGGGGACGGCATGGTGGAATTGTGGCCCAATCCGGCTTTTCTCCCCAGGGTCATCACGTCGGCCTTTAGGTCGAGAGTCATCAGGATTAGGGCTTTCTATCCGCCACCGCATGCCTCCCCCGAGGAGGAGCGGCGGCACCTTCTGTGTCCTGTCAGAATGCTGAGGCATTACCTGGCCATGACGTCGTCATTCAGGTTGGGTGGTCAGCTGTTTGTGTGTCTGGGCCCCAAGAACAGGGGCGCCCCGCTGTCGGCTCAGCGGCTGGCGCACTGGGTCGCCACGGCTGTGCGGCGGGCGTATCAGACGCAGGGTCTGGCCCCCCCGGTGGGCTTCAGGTCGCATTCCACGCGTGGGATGGCGGCCTCTACGGCCTTCTCAGGGGGGCGTGGGTCGAGGACGTCTGCCGTGCGGCTTCTTGGGCGTCGTCCTCCTCTTTCGTCCGGTCTTATCTTTTGGATATGTCGAACCGGTCGGTGGCCCATTCCGTGCTGAGTGCAGCGGACTGAGTTAGACCGTTAGGTCCCTCCTCTGAGGGGGCCTTCGGTTTACTTTCCGCCCTGGTTCAGGAGCTCTTGGGAGAGGCATCCTACAGGTGCGGTACATATATGTGTGTTTGGTCGGTCAGGTAGTCCACGTCAAGAGCTCTTGGGAGAGGCGTCCTGTGACTACGGATGACCTAAGGTCTGTGTTACGTGGGGGTATCCTTGGTAGGAGTGGCCCTGTAACACGCATTGTTTCTTCTGCCCTGAGTCCTCTCACTGTGTGAGGGTCTTGCTCGGGCGGAGCTCCAATCACCCTTCGCTGGCCTGCTGGGAGTACATGTTCCTACGGCCTCCGCGTTGTGTCCCACTAGCGAAGTCCTAAGGGACGTAGCACCATGACGTAGAATTAATAGTTACCTAATGTAACTTAAGTTCTACGAATAGGTGAGTAGTCCCTTAGCTACGAGCCCATCAGGCCAGCCCGGCTTGGCAGGGTTCAAGAGGGGGTGCGGCTTTGTGCAGGGGCATTTATAGAGGACGGTGGCTGGTGATTGGAGCAAATTATTTTGATCTCTCTGGCGTGTGACCTGGGGGTCACGAGTGATATCCCACTAGCGAGGTCCTAAGGGACTACGCACCTATTCGTAGAACTTAAGTTACATTAGGTAACTATTAATTACGCAACACCCGGTAGAAGTGAAACGAAACTTAAACCCCGCTCTGGGTTTGGCTTTGTTGCAAGGGACTTCAGATCCAGACTGGAGTTCATTCTTCTCTTGGGAAGGTAAGTTTTTGACTTTTTTTCATTATTATGTGGCTTCAAGGACATTGTTCTGACATGCAGGTTGGATTTGTGTCCAACCTTGTATTATAAAATAGCTCTAGGTCACCACATGTATGTATTTGGGTCTCGTAACTAAGTTTTGTTCTTCCCCTTTTCTCCTAAAGGAAAAAATCCTTCAAAATGACAATACATCAGAGTTTATGGCTGTGGCTATTTTTCATGGTCAGCGGCGTGTGTGCGCAGTTCCGCGCCTTCAGTGAGTGCTTTGATGATTATTTTGTCTTGTATTTGAGTTGATATATGTGAACACAGCCCTTGTCTGCGCAGAGAGGAGCTCCACAGTGCAGGAGGGGGACGTGAGGCTCGCCGCCTCCAGACTCTCCTTCGGGGGTCGAGTGGAGATCTTCCACGCGGGACAGTGGGGCACCGTGTGCGATGACGGCTGGGACCTGGACGAAGCCCATGTGGTGTGTCGCCAGCTGAAGTTCCCCCGTGCACTGTCGGTCATGACGGGAGGAGAAGGCTATTACGACAAACCAGGTACATGTCCCCCATCTGCCACAAGAGGGCGCTGTAGCAGTGTTAACTGTTCACTCCTGTTCCAGTCACTAAAATCAACATTTTAACACCAGCTGAATAAAAATGTATGTGCTAATACATAGCTTTATTTCTAACTCCCATGTCTTACTTTGGCATTTTGTGGAATCCTTTTAAGAACAGTGCAACGATTTATCTGCAAGTCATCATTCCTACTTTTATTCCATTAATAGGAGTCCTCTCTGGATCCAGACCTGCACCTCTTTTTAAAATCATATTTCTCTTCTATTTATCATAGCATCGGGGCCAATATGGATGGATGACATGAAATGCAAAGGCACAGAGAAGTACCTACATGCTTGTACTTTCAAAGGATGGGGAATTACTGACTGCACCCACAAGGAGGACGTAGTCATACAATGTGATGCAGGTAATGCAATTATTAGAGAAGGATTGTAATGATTGCTTGTCATCCAGGTCTGCGACAATGCTTATTTATTCATATTTATTTCTATTTTACAGCTGGTTATATGGAGAGTGCAGCACTATCATCCTACCCCCTGGACCACAGTATTAATTTGTCTGATGAGCTAGGGGAAGTCTTCAGCGATGAGAGATTCTGCGACCTCTCAATCACTGCTCAAAGTTCTCTACAAGATCAGGAGGACACCACACTGCACGATTCAACAACACTATGTGCTCACAAAGTGGTACTCTCACAAGTGCACGCCTTCAATATCACCCAAGAAACCCAAAACATTACAGTTCAAATTGCTTCCAACTGTCTTCCACATTTTTCTTCTTTTATTAGGTAAATATGAACCCTTTTTTGAAATGATGGTTCTTTATCATTAAAGCTGGTTTACCGAACTTTCAAATAACACAAAAAAAATTCCAGAAATCCATATATTTCTACAATGGTTTGGCTTTATCACACATTATTAGGCAAGCATTTAGGCTCAACCCAAAGTTTCAACTACTGACTCACAAGGTTCTTTCTCATGAATATTAAAAAGATAACTTGTGTATTATTTATGAAAGAATAATGTTTAGGTACCCCAGCTTTAAGTAAGTGGGTCTTGGTGATGTAATTGAGTATAATATTATATTTGTGCTCTTTGTTGTAGATACCTGTACACACGTAAGATGGAAGTCTCCTTTTCCTCTGTGCAATGTCTTCACTGGTTGGCTTCTCAGTTTGGGGTGGAACAACTGATGAGAGACACAGGACTTCTCTTCAACCAAATAATTCCTGACGATAGCTCGTTTGAAACACAAGTGTCTATTTATGAATATGCATTAGAAACCAAAGACTTGCAGCTGCAAGAAATGTGCATCCGGTATTTGGTCTGGAACTTTGAAAATTTCACCATGAGTCCACTTTGGACCCGCATTTCAGAGGACCTTCTGAGTGGCCTTTTGCACCGCTCAGATCTAGTGGTCCAGGACGAGTTATTTGTGCTTCAAGCTGTTGAAAACTGGATATCGAGCAATGATAACACCAGTTTAGACAAACAGGCCAAACTATTATCTCTTGTGCGTTTTCCCATGATTCCTGCTGAACAGCTGACCGACAGTCAAATGACATTGAAATCCTTACTGTACAGCACACATAAGGATGTCTTCAATGATTGCATGCTCAAGGCCCTTCAGTTTAATGTCCAGCTTTTAACTAATATTATATCTCGAGGGAACATGTCTATAGAAGATGTTTTTTACCAACCTCGGATCTACACCTCTGCCTTATGGGCGCTGTCCTTTGACAAATTGAATCAAGGCAGAATCAGGTCACAAGCCTATGGAGATTACAACTACAACTACAACTACAATGATGGCAGAACCAAGGCGTTCAACGTACCATATCACAGCAGCACCATCTTCAAGGACAGGGAGGTCTCGTGGTCTGCAGATATATTTGTTAACCAATACGAGTGTTCAAATCGAGGTATAAGGTGCCAGTCTCTCCCAATGGCCAGGTTTCTAAGTCATAACAGCAACCAGTTTCCAGGTGTTGTGTTTCGCAACAGGCTGCTACTGATGTGCGAGAACAGGTATATTTGTGAGGTTCAAGACTTCAAGGATAACAATGCATTTATTCCCAACAACGGCTCTCAGTCTCTCACCTACCCTTGTCCAAATGACCAGTACAAATTCATTTTTGTAGCGCGACCGGAGTATATCTGAAGAGAGATTTTATTTCCATTTCATCTAATTACATACACTGTTTATATAGTCATTTACAGTTAGAAATGTTGATGTTTTACCCTAAACATATAAAACCCTAACCCACATAAAACCAATAAAATGTGTTTTTATAATTTATATATCTATCATTGTCTTTTATTACTAAATTAAAACTGATTGAAGCTATTTCTCAATCCCTCAAATGTCTTGCAGTCTTCCTGTATTGCTGTGTCACCTATAGGAGAGGACAAGCAGAGGCATGTTAGAACAGCCCACAACATAACATTGCTCCAGTGAGTGAGAAGATTTATTTGGGAAAGGAATTGTGATGGAAAGCTTTATTTTCATATGTGTAGGGCAGTGTGTATTAAATTGACCAGGTTTGTAGCCTAATTTCCATACATATGTCCCACATTATTCCCCCTGAACAAACACTTAATCAAGTTTTATTTGTAGAGCGCCTTTTCTACACAAGGCAACACATTTAAAATCCCACAGGTCATTAAAAACAAACACCTATGAGACACAAGGAGAACATGCAAACTCCACACAAAAGCACCGTCTGGAGGTGGAATTAAACCCAGGTAGGCCCATAAAGGAAGTGGGACAGCGCCATTGGCTGGTATTGTTTTGGAGGTCGAGCTGTAACCAGAGACGCTGCACCAAGAGAAGTTACCCTGCTGTAGCAGTAACCTCCAGCTACACACATTTTTTAATACATATTAGTAATTCAATAAATAAAATACTTATTCTTATTATTATACTTCATTGAATGTGATGAAGATTTATATATTTATTATTGCATATATTCATGTCTTTTTTTTTTATTGTTAAATTATTATTACATATGTATCTGGGTGAACCGCAGACTTTCTTTCACTGAATATATGGCTGGTAGATGTGGTGGCGGTGGTGGTGTGATGGACCCCTACTGTATAAGCTTGTGCTTCTGGGAGTTCCATTCTCACATTGTAGCACATGAACTTTTTAGTAACTGTGAAATTGTGAATAAACTAAACTAAAACCTTTAATAAACTGTTTTCACCTTGCTTTTATTTGGGAAAGGATTTCACACACCCATGCTGTGGTGACCAGAGTAGGATGTCTTGACTTTTCAAAAGAGCATTCGTCATTCTGACCAAGGAGGCTGGTTAATTGTGACTTACCACAAGCAATTATTAAATGTGACTACTGAAGTATGTTCCGACTTGTACAATGTTTCCCAAGTGATGCAACATTTTGGACAAAACACTGAACTTTGTGTGAAATGTATAAACTCATGGGATAATATGAGCATTGATCATGATTATACTGAGCAATCTGAGCCCCACCATCCCATTCCAGATGATTCGACCACCTCTAATAACTGCGTATAAAGTGAATGGTACAAGAGCACATGCCTTGCCTTGAACTGCGAGTGCAACTTGTGAGGCTGTTCCAAGATTCATACAGAAAGAATTTGACATCACCAGTGTATAATAGACTGGGCTAGGCCGGTAGAATGGGGAAAGAATTTCCCTTTAAAAGAGGGAAAGTTTGTAAAGTGCTATGAGTATTAACTAGTGTATCCCTGACCTGCAGTCACCAGCGTAATACATAATTTCTTCCAACAGATGTTTTTGTAGTCTCCTTCACAGTTTATGCTTCTTCACTCTTGCACATGTTTAATGCGGTGGAGAGTAGGTGGGAAGGAGTCGGCTCTTTCCTTATATGGGCATTGATACAGGCAAAGGGGCATTGGTCAGTGGTCAAAGGATGTGGGCCACTCTACCACACCACCCACCACTTCCCACAATGAGACCCACAGTTTCTGTCCTGCCAGGCACTTCCCTTTCAGTGTATTCCTGGCATTGGAAGTCTATCATTTAAGTATTATGGTGGCTTTTTTGCTTTTGTAGTGGTGTACACAAGTCTGCTTACTTTGCGCTTCTATCAAAAAAAAATCTACCAAATGGAGCTGTCGATACGGTAATGAAACCAGACGTTCTGCAGAAGGTCATGTGAAGTGTGCCCACAGGATCTAAAGGTAAATTGCTTAACAGCGACATATGCAAGTTTGTGGAGAAGATGGTGAAGGTTCTCAATGATTTCAAATTAATATTATGTGTAAAAAAGACAGCTTTTCTTTCTCATTTTCTTTAAGCTCTAAAAAAATATGTATATATAAACAGTTTTAGTGTATATTGATAAACATGGCTTATCACAAAGGCCAGGAAAACAACAACAATGATTACAGCAGTGAATAATACAGTTTGTTTGTCCCGACAGAACCTATCGTCTTTTTGGCCATACGTTTATCCTGTTAGAAAATATGTTATCTTTTGCATACTTGTAAAAGAAATCCCTGTGAGTCACTATTTGATGCTTTGGGCTGAGAGCTGATTGGCTGAGTAAAGGTGGTTCTCTCTTAATCACTTTTATGTCAGAATAAGATGGTATAAAGATGTGACCGAGGCCAACAAATAGTAAGTAAGTGAGTAATATTTATTTATATAGCGCATTTTTTACAGACCAAGGTCACCCAAAGCCCTTTACAATGTTCAGAGTTCAGATATTGTTCCAATTATTCCACACACGGTGATGACAGAAGCATATGAATAGTGAAAATATATAGAGAGCAAGGAATGTAGATGTATTTTATTACATTCTATTTTTGGCATTGTAAGTTACGTATTTTTTGTATTTTACTTGAATGAATTAATGTTGATTAAACCAAGCTGAGGTAAAACTTACTTGATATTTACAAACTCAGATCCTTGACCCTCTGGCTCTTTGTTGTGTCGTTGTTGTCCTGCCCTGTACTCACAGACAGACCTTGTTGTCGTCTGTCTTACGTGCTGGTAACTTGCAGTAGACTGCGAGTCATAACCACTTGCAAAATTCTTGACAACTTGGAAATTAGTCATCCCGTGCTTCCTTAAAAAAACAAGGGCCCAACCAAACAACTATAAATTGTCTTGATTTCCCAACTGTCTGCCTTGGTTTTTCAGACACTGGGAATGCATAAGAGGAAGAAAAAAATCTATGGAAAAGAACAGGAATATGCTCATGTGGCCAGAGGACATAGGAGCCAAGTATGATGTCACAGTGAAAAAGAGCCAACATCTCCAGTCCTTTTGATTATTCATCAAAAGTCATGATCTGATCATCCTATATCATCACTTGTTAATGCACAACACAGAAGAATAGCTGCCTTTAGCCTCATGTATAATACTATGCTGTACTACAATACAAACCAGTTTTCCAGGCAAGTGAATTACATTGTAATAAAACAAATTCAACATTGGGCCCACATGATATGGATCAAAATATAGGCTGCTTTGTGACTGGACTGTCGAGATTTCTGATTATATAGGCCGGGGTGTCCAAACTTTTTAGTAAGAGGGCGACTTGCCCATGATCCAAATAGTAAAGCTGTTTTCACTTGTTCTGATATTTAAAACCCATGTTTATATTGATTCACTTTTGACAGAGCTGAGGATGGCTGAAGACAAATGTTTACCATCGCACTGACAACATTAGTGTCATATGTAGAATATTGTGCTGAAGTTGGCTTGATGACACTGTGAACTTGTGTTTATGATCTCAATGGCACTTTGTGTTAGCAGCAAAGGGCCATCTAACAAAGAGTAGAATAGCACAACTGGCCCACGGGCCTTAGATTTTTTTATTTTAATGTTTCCTTTATTGTTTTGTAAAGCAGTTTAGTTTTCCTGTGTATGGATTAGGGTTAGGAATTTATTTTGTTTTGTGTTGTTTTGTTCAGCACTTTGTGTTGCCTTGTGTATGAATTATGCTATACAAATAAACTTGCCTTGCCTTAGGGTTACGAATGATACAATACAAATAAACTTGCCTTACATTCTGCATTTTGAAATTCTGTAATTGCCTTTCAAACAGTATTTTGCTTTTCATCAGAATATACAGCCTCAGCTTTAAACATTTTGTCATTTAGGCAGAACAAGTGTGCCTTGATTAGGCCACACAAGGGCAAGCCCGTTTAGCAACCCCTGAGTTTATGGAACTATATTGTGTAAAAAGTCTGAAAAGGGGAACTCTTTACGCCTGTTGACGTGGTCAGTTGAGGGTCACAGATAGGCTACAGTCACGGTTACATCTCCATGGCTACAGTTGAAGATTCATTTTCTTGAATTCTGATTTCAGCTCGAGCAGCCCCTAACCCCTGCATGCTCATTGGCTGTGACCACAGAGGAGGCGTGGCCTGTCTTTGCTGCGCCATAAATACGCAGCTGTTGTGGCGAGAGAAAATAGTTTGGATGAGCAGTCCTTCACTAGAATGAACTCTCTACAGTGACTTGGTTCACTTTGACATCTGCTGCGCATCTAGTTGTGTTGCCTTTACTCGTCCCGTGCTTGTTTTTCAAGTTGTGTTGTTTTCAAAATGACTTGGACCGTGAACAGCGCTGTCATCACTCTCGCCATCCTTTTCATTTGGCGGGTGGAAAAACTCACAGAGGCCTGTAGCTGCTCCCCAGCGCATCCCCAACAGGCGTTCTGCAACTCAGACGTCGGTAAGTGGAGAAACTTTTGTCATCATGATGCTATAGATCCTGACATTATAGGCCATATAGCTAATGCATTGTTCTATACGAGCCTATTATTTACACATCTGGAACTATGGAAACTTCTGACTCATTCTTGATGGGCTCCCCCCTCCCACCCTTATTATGTCCTGACTGTGGAGACTTTTCAGTAAGCTTATGCGTAAAAGGCTTCAATGTAGATATCATGGGGTATCATTAGGTAAAATACTCCTCATGATCGAGTCCCTATACTCGCACAGATTGTTGTTGTTATTATTATTATTATTATTATTATTATTATTATTATTATTATTATTATTATCATCATCATTATTGCTTTATTATTCCCTTTTTTACCCTCTACCAGTTTGCACGGTGACAGACGCGCACTCAGTTCGCATGTCGCAGCATGTCGCACGTCCCTGTTCGCATCCTGCAGTCATAAACATAAACTTGTGTTTTCAGCTGCCTCTGATGAACGCTGTTGTCTTGTGTCCTTGGCATAACAGCGTACACTGTCTGCGTACACTGATATAAATGTTTTTTATCAATGTGGAGCGCTTTGAGTGTCTTGACCTAGAAGGTGGAAAGGTGCTATATAAACATGAGGCCAAAAAACCATGGTTGCAGATGTGTGGTATGTGTGTCCAGTGTGAAGAAGAGGTCCATTCAAACATTTGCCCTTTGCTTTCAGATCCAAAGACTCACAGTGTTCTCTTTCAGCAGATACCTCATGTAATATACAGAAGATTAGCAAATGGATTAAAAGTCAATTCGGATGAGAATTGGCTTTTAATACCTCTGCTAAAATAACTTTTACAGTGCCACTATATCTGAGAAGGGCTCCATTAATATACATATAACTATGGTTAAACTTTAACGATGACGTGTGGATTCTGAGATATGAACATCTGGAAAAGTGATGTTTTGGCATATTATTTCAGTGGCAGGAACTATGCAAAGACTTTTCACTGTAATGATGTGGCAAATGTGCACAGTAAGACGTTTGAAGGAGAAACTACCATTTAGTGAAAGTATTACTCAACTCAGAAGTATAGGGTCAGCTTTGGAAAACTACTCAAACTTATTTATTGAGCTTTTTATAACCCTAATCATTCTGACATTCAACAACTGTTCTGTTTTACTTGGTTTACCTCATTTCAGTTTTTCCTTACTTCATCCTGTTTAGGCATAATGTGCTTTTCCGATGTCCAGTCCAAAGTAAAAGTGTCTTTTGGCTGGAGCTCAGGAATGCTGCTGGTCATGCTGTGTCATGTATTTTCTCTTGTAGTTCTTCCCCCTGTGTGCAAACAAAACAAATATTAAAACCAGATTTTTCCATCAAACTCCAGCAGCAGAATACAACAGAGATTTGCCTCTGAGCTGCAGAGTGTTTCCTCACTTCACATAAACCCAGCCACTGTGTGGGCTCCTGGAGCCAAACAAAGCTGGAAAGGCCCTACAATTATAGGACATACAATTGTTTCTTCTTCCCCTTGAGCAGCATTTACTATGATTTTGTACAAACAAGCAGTTGCAGTTTACTGTAAGCTTGGCCATGACTCGCTGTATGAAGCCCTGTGTGATGAGGCCTATAATTTAACTTCACATCCACCATAATAAATCACTTATAAACATTTGATTTCAACACCACTTCTATAAAACATAGATGGATTACAATGCCTTTCCCATCATGCAGTATTAATTTTTTTTATTGAAGATAAACTAGATGGAACAGTTCATTTTCTTAGAACTTTGTTTTACATAGTTTTCCCTCTCCGTCATCATATTTGTATTGTGTTCTTCTGTGCGTCTTCACTTAGCACACATTTATTGCCAATATACTGAAGTATTTGTCTCTGGGGATTTTCTTTGATTGGCATATTATCCATTGTGAGCAGACCAAAACATCTGGATTAAGAGGTTTACAAGAGATCCTCCAATAATATTTGAGCTGAAGTGATTACAGTTTTTCCTTCTCAACTAAACATCTAATAGAAAAAGACATGTGAAATACAACATTTAAGTGCACGTCAGCATCTTGATCCAGACAGGCTCGAGAGGCGAGGGAAGCATTTGAGTTCAGCGTTTTGAAGAATGCTGACTGGTTTCCTCTGTACTCTGAGAGGGCAGGCACAAATTCCTTCCTTTGATTGCAGCTGATGAAACACTGATGTCCCACTGTTTCCCAGCTCCTGGTGCATGCTGCAAACTTCTCATAAGCCAAAGCAATGTGATGTGTGGGAAGCTATTCAGAAATGTATTTAGCTTTGCCCATATCTATTAAATATCATCTATTATATGTGTGTTTTACAGTTATCCGAGCTAAAGTGGTTGGCTCTCAGGTGATCGATGCTGGCAATGATATCTATGGAAATGCAATCAAAAGAATCCAATATGATGTCAAAACAATCAAGGTATGGCTCTTCTCATTCAATCGTTTCAATTTGACAATGTGATAATTTCATATGAATATTTATGTTTTGTTTTATAAGATGTTTAAAGGTCCAACCCAGAACTTTGATGTGATCTACACGGCACCGACCTCTACAGTGTGTGGGGTGACTCTCGAAACTAATAGCAAAGAGTATCTCATTGCAGGTATGGGTATAGCAACTATCTTTTAAAACAAATGTGTGTGTATATTCAGTATAGAGGTGTTTTTCTGTTTTTTTTTAAATTTAACTTGTTTTGATTGAATTTGTAGGTAAATTGGAAAATGATGGAACAATGCATGTTACTCTGTGTGACTTCATTGAATCCTGGGAGGAGCTAAGCGCAACCCAGAAGAAAAGTCTTGCTCAGCGCTATGAAATGGGTTGTGACTGCAAGGTAAGATTTGTGTCGGTGTGAAGTTTGTTATTGCTATCTTTTCTAATGATTGTAATAATATTTTTGTTATTTTAGATCACTCACTGTACCTCCATCCCCTGCACAATCAGTGGACAAGCAGAATGCCTATGGACAGATTGGGTGATTGAAAAGAGTATGAATGGAAATCAGGCTAAGCATTTTGCCTGCATCAAGAGGAGCGATGACTCCTGTGCCTGGTATCGAGGATCTGCACCACCAAAGAAGGACTTTTTGGACATTGAAGACCCCTAAGTCCAGCGCAGTGCTTATGAAAAATTGGCATATACAGAGAATCTCCACATGTAATAAATGTACTTTACCAAACACAGGAGGACTCCTGTAAACAATCACTTCTTTACAAACCACTTTTCCTACAGCTGACATTAAGGGGCCTTCAAATGCAGTATTACTTCATATTTGTATTCATGTGCTGATGTCTATTTTATATGAATAAATATTTGTTTAATAATCAATAGTTTTACTGGAAGCTGGCAACCAGTCATGTTGTCAACACAGTAAGTTGAACTTAGCAAGCCCACTTGTTTTTTTGCCTGTTGGTTTAGCCTTTTTAATGTTTTTTTTTTATTTCTTCAACTAATTATGTATAGAAAAGGAGATGCACTTTGTACAGTGGACCAACAATTGTTCTATTAAAACCTTTGTGGAAGATTGAATCTTCCCTTTTGTAGCCTATATTTTGCAATGTTTTATCTAATTTCTTTTGCTTTGATAAGGCCCATTCTAGTGCCATTCTTTAATTTATTTTTTTGGTTTATGTTTTACAACTGTTTCAATACAGAATGCATCCTGGGTAAACAGTGGAATCAATAATAGTTTGAAAAAATAAAGGGCTTGATCTTTAACACACACTGAGCAAAGCTTGTGTTCTTGTGAAGAGTTACAGACATCAAAGAAAGGAAGACATTAGACAAGCTCAAGTTAAGACATCTTGGCTATATTCATTAGGCTGTGTGCTGCCATCTGGTGGAGAATCCGGACACTGCAGTCACTCGTAAATAAAAATTCACTTGGTAAATAGAAATTCTATGTATCCCTAAACTTTTTGGCCAAATTATTTGAGCTTATTGTGTTGATTTATAGTAATCCAAAAACCATAAAGCAATTACGATCTGAACCATGAGACAAATGAATAGTCGTAAAGGATCGATGTGCAGGCCATTAATATGTAGTTATTGAGATGTTTAATAATGCATACACAATTTATCCACCCACTGATCTAAAGTTGTGTTGGAGCCTAACACAACTCAAACACATCAAATAATCTCTTGAGCAGGGATACAAACACAGGGCTTGCAGTTCCATGTGCTAGATTAAATGCCAAGTCTCGTGTGCTAAATAGCAGGTGGACACCGGCTTGTGTTTTCCATATGACAAGCTTATCGTAGACGTCAGGATTTCTTGTCAATAGACAATGGGATAGAGTCTAAGGTCAAAGCATTGGTCCAAGCATAGTACCAGCAGTACAGGGTCTTTCTCATAATTGTTACATGTATCGCTCAAAGTGTATCTGGGAAACAGCGTCCTCTTTTGTACAGTGTTACGTCCACTTTTGTTTGATTGGATAAAACAATGTGCGTCCACAAGTTTTCTTGTGTGATTGGCTCCTCATCTCTGTCAATCAGATGTAGCTCCGCCCTCTGATAATGCAGCATGGGCGAAAATACCAGACCCAAGTGCTTCAGCTGAGAAAGCAAGTCCCGCTAAGACTGCGCATTTCTCATTCTAATCATAAGGTATGTGGATGTAGTGTTTTCGTTAGACAGTATGATTAACCATCTTTGCTTCGGCCATCGTGTCGAATAGAAATTTGCGCGGATTTAGCGTCCACAGCCCGAACCCCGGAGACACAGCCACATTGCAGCTCAGGGAGTCGCAAGCCACGTTAAGTTAGCTGCTAGCTCATGTGCTAATGTTTCTGTGGCTGTCAAAGGGATACAAGTGGGACACAGTAGCGTGTATTAAAGACTATATTCTTACATGGTACTCTTAATATTCTGTTCTATAGTCTATGAATCAAGACATTGTCTCGATGATGTGTTATACTGTACACCGCTGTTGTGACCATGGCTAGCCCTGGCCACACTGCTCTGTCTACTGGTCCATGTAGTTGAGCAGAGAGAGAGTTGTGCTTTAATTCTTTAATGTACACCATTTGTTTGTTTGACAAAAGGCCTGTATTGGGGTAATCTCCGTTGTACCCCCGGGTGACTATCATTTTATAATTATGCTAACGTGGTTTAAAACATATTATTTAAAATGTGGTTTGATATTTATCGGGTTGTTCTGAAATAAAATTCTGTATTATAGAATACAAACATCTTCAATGTTACTGTAAACTTGAGTATAATTAATTTGCTCCCATTGTGTCCTTGGGTAATGCACTCCAGGATGTTTCACAGTGTTGTTGAGTTAAGTCTAATTGCAAAAGTAAAGGTTCAGTAAATACATTTTTTAATATCTGAACACATAAATTGTGTACTCACACATTTGAGTGTAGGCCTATGTTATAAACATCAATAACATTTCCATTGCAATATACTAATTTTTCACAAATAAAAGGTGAATCATTAGAAGCAAATCAATATCATAGATTAAATATGTTATTCATAGGACTGTTGTATTTTTTTTCTTCAATATTTCATCAGAGGTGGCAAGTAACCAGTTAAAAATACTTCAGTGGAATACTTCAGGAGTAATACTCCTGAAGTATTTTAACCGGTATCTTTACTTTACTTGAGACCTTGTAATTTTGAATAATAATTTTGTGCATGTACTTTCTACTCCTTACATTTAAAAATAATGGTGTGTTACTTTTGTAATAATTATATAAAACAGACATGTGAACCACTAGTGTCACAAGGTCACTAATACAGGTTTAAAACCGTTAGACATGCTTCCAAGTTTATTTATTTATAATTATGTGGTTCGCGCCACATCTAAGTTCAGATAACGACTGCACTCAACATGTTTTCTTGTCACATTTTGTGCCAGTATGGAACACATAAATACATATTACCATAAATAATCAGAATTAGTCTATTGTGTAATGCAAAAAATAACATCACATGAATGTAGCGTGTAGCTGCAGCCTTTCATGGCTGTTTCTATACAGACCATGAAAGACTGCCAAGAGTTGTGATGATTATTACATCTGAACGTATGTGAAACTTCTCTTCATTTATATTTCACAATCTTCTCAGAATTTTTTTCCTAGTACTTGGTGGTTCTGATGTTTTTAGTTGCTCATGTATCAGCAGCTTATGTGAAGGTCATTGTGCCCTTCTGCATACAATGCATGTTCATTCTGCCTCGCTCCTCTCTTGATGACGTCACTGCCCACTCCAATGAGCAACTCTAAAATTCCATATGATATAAAACTTTGTTTTCTGACAAAGACTGATTGCATCTCATGCCAATATATTGAATTTTATATTAATGGATGGAGTGTATTCATTTAAAGGTGATCACTTTTTTTACTCGTGTGTCTTATGCCATCTTTCTGCAGTAATGTTTCAACGATGCCGATAGTAGATAAACTCAAAGAGGCTTTGAAACCTGGGCGAAAGGAGACGAGTGATGAAGGAGATCTCAACAAATTGCTTGCATCTTCAGCAAAAAAGGTTCTTCTGCAAAAAATTGAGTTTGAACCCGCCAGCAAGGGATTCTCCTATCAGCTTGACAGCCTAAAGAACAAGTATGTAATCCTCAATCCCAAAAATCAGGCTGCACCCGGACAGAAGGTCATAGAACCTGCCCAAATCAAAAGACAAGGTGACAATTAAGCTGAAGCTGCACTGTTGTAAGCTTTAAGGTTGTCAATATTTACTGATTTAATATTCTATTTTATTTCAGCCTCAGAAAATGTCATTGGAAACCAGAGCGATGGCATCCCTGCTCCTCAGAAATTTCTTTTTTCTGGGAGTAAGCTGACCCTCAAATGGGAGCGAGTGTACAGAGTGGGAGCCGGCCTCCACAATCTCGGCAACACCTGCTTCCTCAACTCCACAGTGCAGTGTCTCACCTACACGCCACCGCTCGCCAACTACTTACTCTCAAAGGAGCACAGTCGAGCTTGTGAGTACTTCAGGTTTCTCATAAAGGTTTTCTGGTATAGGCCCATAGTCTGCTAAATAAAGTAGAGTAAATTCACATTGTGGTGTTTTTGTAGGTCACCAGTCAGGATTTTGTATGATCTGTGTAATGCAGAATCATATTATCCAAGCTTTTGCCAACACTGGTAACGCCATAAAGCCAGTCTCCTTCATCAGAGACCTCAAGAGTAAGCTGCTTCACCTTCCTTTCACATTGCACTTATTATTGGACTGCTGACTTTAGCTGCCAGAGCCTCAGTGACGTGACATCAACCTTCAGCCTGTCTCCAAACGGCAGAGCATAAGTGAAGCTGTGAATGAACATGTAGGGAGGGGATGATGAAACACATTATATAGCCGTGCTTGCCCCAAAATCCCCTATGCGCTGGACCTACTTTCTTTTGTGCTGGTGATATGATGGTGTTCTGCGCCCCTCCCTCCCTGTTTCTTAAATGCCCTCTCTGTCTCCTTGTGACTGCAGCCTGGGAGGAACAGCACTAGCACAAAACACACTGTCCAACTCCTTGATGCCAGTACACAGACTTTCTTGACTTTATAATTGACCTCCAGTTAAATATTCAAATGTTCATTGACACTACAAGTGTCAGGGGCATTGGAGTTGTGCTTATCTAAACTCGTTTTGTTATCTTAGGGTGCATTCACTTAGTGCACAGGAATCCATTTCAATTGGACTTAGGGCTTAACCTTTTTGTGGAGATGTAATCATAGGGCTGGGCGATAAAACAATAACGATATATGTCGCGATACACGTGTTCGATATCAATAGAAAACGGGGTTGATAGAATGTTCGATGGTTCAACTTCACTTTGTTAGAAAAAACAGGAAGAAAACACAGGAAGTAAAGCAGTCAGAAGCGCGCAGCATTCTGTGCGATGTAGGCAGATGCTTCTTGACCTATCACAGCTGAGTATGAACCGCAAAACATTCTGGGAAATGCAAAAAAAACAACCGCAACCGACCGCACCATGCGTAGCGTCCATGGATCTACAAATTGTATTTCAATGCTGTGTCAATGTTTATGCACGTCCGTGCACAGTGGACACAGAGACCCGATGCATTCGGCGAAAGCAAGAAATGAACCTTTCCCTCGGGATGCTCCGCACGGAGCCGTCACGGTGACACAAGACACTCAAACAGCCAAAACAGGAGCTAAACCAGGACTAACAATGGGGAACACTGTGCTTGTGAACATATTCCTCTAGCCTCATTTCCCCGTGACTGTAAACAAGGGCTGCTAACATGTGTTAGCCGACACAACAAATGTATTAAATTAGTGTAAAAAAAAAAACCTAAAAAAACATTCAATATATATTGTTATTGACCGATATGAATTACTTATATTGTGATATAGTTTTTAGCCCTATCGCCCAGCCCTATGTAATCACACTGAGGAATGCCTGATCTTATCGGCCACTAATCACTATATATGATATTTAAAAATAATAATAAAACAATATTTTTTTTTATTTAATTGAAAAAAGATCAATCCACATTCTTCCACTTTATCCATTGCTTGGCTGCGCATGCAGCATTCTGAATAATGACCTACCTGTTCATGCACACTTCTTCCAGCACAACACATAGTTTAACCCTTTCAATTCAACAATTTATTGTAATAGAAAATAAACAATGCTGTTAATGATTTAATTTGGGTCTATTTTTATCATGATAAACTTATTTAAAATTTAGATTTTAAAAAACAATTTTTTAGAATTGATGCCTGGACGTCATAAGGACCCTGTACACGCCCTTTTTCCTACCTTTTTTCTTTCTGATCCATCACATTCTATTCAACAGATGTTTGGGGTGTGAGAGTTTTCAGTCTTGGGTTTCTTATCAATATGTATCGTTAAGTTGAAAATCCCTTTTGAATGCCATAAGGAGTAAATCTCTTGATCTTTTCACCGGTTTTGTATTTTTGCCTCCATACTAAATAACCCACCAGTGTGCATGATAAATGTCAAGTTGAAACATTGGAGCACTTGAACATAAAGCCTTTTAATGCACTAATGGCTGCGTTTAGAGGCTGTAATGCACTTTTATTTTCCTCAGAGATTGCCAGACACTTTCGTTTCGGCAGCCAGGAGGATGCTCACGAGTTTTTGCGGTACACCATTGACGCCATGCAAAAGGCCTGTCTTAATGGATACCCCAAGTAAGACTTTATACTTCATGCAGATTTAAACATTATATTAAAGATATACTTCTAAATATTTGTTTTTAGGCTTGACCGACAAACGCAGGCCACAACGTTGGTTCACCAGATCTTTGGGGGTTACCTCAGGTCAAGAGGTATTATGCCAGTCTTTATTAAATCTGCTTTGTTTTTGATGGACTCAAGTTTGTGAATTGTTCATCTTTTTTTTTCCCCAGTGAAATGCTCTATCTGCAAAAGTGTGTCTGATACATACGATCCTTACCTGGACATTGCTGTTGAGATCCGGGTACGTTTCGAAACGCCCATCACTTTATAGTAATATAAAATGCTTTTTAATTGAAGATGAAATTAAAAGTATTGTTTTGTGTGCGTCTGGATTTTTAGCAAGCTGCCAACATAGTGCGGGCTTTGGAACTGTTTGTCAAACCAGATGTGTTAAGTGGAGAAAATGCCTACATGTGCGCCAAGTAAGAAGTAAACCAAAGAACAAATATACATTTTTATTCTTGTTTCATCTGATTTGATTAAAAACTGTATTCAGGTGCAAAAAGAAAGTGCCAGCTACGAAGCGCTTTACTGTCCATCGAACGTCAAATGTGCTCACTCTTTCTCTGAAGAGATTTGCCAACTTTAGTGGAGGAAAAATAACAAAGGTGTTTAGATTGTCAATTACTAAACTCTTAAAACTCAGAATCCAGAATATTGATGGCACTTTTCTCTTCAGGATGTGGGATACCCTGAGTTTCTTAACATCCGCCCCTACATGTCTCAAAGCTCAGGTGATCCAGTCATGTATGGCCTTTATGCTGTGCTTGTGCATTCTGGCTACAGCTGTCATGCTGGCCATTACTACTGCTATGTCAAGGTGGATATTTTCAAAGTCTCAGTAAATATTTCCAATTGGACGACTTTTTATTTTATTTTATTTTTCCCTCCAACACAGGCCAGTAACGGACAATGGTACCAAATGAATGATTCAATGGTGCACTCCAGTAACATCAAAGTGGTGTTGAACCAGCAAGCATATGTGCTTTTTTACCTGCGGTAAGTGGGTCTACAAAATCTATGGTTGTGTTTGGCCGTTTACAGGCTATTTGTCAAAGAATTATTTATTTATTTATTTCAAACCTGCACAATACTTTTTACATATATCATTATAACAAACTTGTACAAATAAACTTGTATCACTCGGGGTTAGTGGTGGGCGATGCCACTGGATGTCACAGACCTTGCCATTCAAACCTGTTTTATGTGTCAAGCCTAAAATGGGATTTGTAGTCATTTCAAGCGATACACAAGTTGACAGCCAAAAAATGGTCAGGGGTTTCTCAGCTGATGATCCGCAGAAATGTGTTTTTTACGCAAAACCGTCCGTCCGTCCGTTTTCCTCCGCTTCATCCGTTGCCGGGTCGCGGGGGCAGCAGTCTAAGCAGAGACACCCAGACTTCCCTATCCACACACACTTCCTCCAGCTCGTCCGGGGGGACCCCAAGGCGTTCCCAGGCCAGCTGAGAGCAAGAGAGTCCCCCCCCCGCAAACCTCCCTGTTCAGCCCCTGTCACATGACCTCCTTCAGGAGCCCCTGTTATGTGACCTCCTTCAGGAGCCCCTGTCACGCAACCTTGCCATGAGCTCCTGTTATACTTCCCTGGGACTTGAAAACGTTTTTCTGCATAAAGTTATAAAGCTTATATTTAAAGCTGCACTAACTGACTTTGGGATTTTGAAGCCGCGGACCCGCTGGCCTCTCTTTCTGCTCCCATCCATGAATATGGATTTGCACGTGGATGGTGTGACCATAAAACGATAGAACCGGGAAGCACGGAGGAACGGGACTTTCTTTTGGATGGCTGTTTCGCTAAGTAAGCAGTAACTGGTGATGAAGACACGAAGCTTCAGGTTAGCTCCTCGGCTTGTTGTGCTAACTCAGCTGTCTGTGCTAACGGACCTGTAGATTTCTCACGAAAGTGGGGGCTATTGGTCCGCTGTGATTGGTCACAATCTGCGACCCGAAACACATTCTCTTCCTTGTTTCATCAAAACTCAATCTAAAATATAATGTCACGCCAGCACAAATCTGCGCTAATTATTCTTCAAAAGGACGTATATCCCAATGCACTACATGGACATGGATAGCATTTTCGTAATGAATACAAAAAAGTGACATTTGTTCCACAAATTGTGACCAGGTATTATGTATGTGAGCGATCGCTGTTTTCATCTGTGCATTTGGGATGCCAAAGGACAATTCTGTTGCCATTTGTTTACAAGAGCGCCACCTACACGTCACCCGTAGTATAGAACATGAAGAAACCCTTGGAGCCCTTCAAGTTTGTCGTCTCTCGGATTGACAACATTGAACTCTTTTCTGTTGAATGTGTTGATAAAAGAGGTTATGTATTTTTTTATGAATGCATAATGAATAAGTGGACGGCCTTATCATTGAGTTAATTTATTCACCACAAAAGGGGAATTTTCAGTATTGCATCACAGGTTACAGAACAGTAAGAAAATCAAAAATGTCTGTAGACCTATAGGTCTAGCTAACTCTTATTCCTCTAGAAATTAATAGAAAAAAGAAATTGGGCACCTATGTAACTTTAATGCTGTTGCGAGAATAATATAGATGAATGGAATGAGCATCTACAAGTTGCAGCTCTTTCTTATAATTAAGCCTCACCATGGTATCTCCTACCATATTTATTGTCTTTGACGTTTTTTCATGTTCTGTACTACGGGTGACGTGTAGGTAGCGCTCTTGTAAACAAATGGCAACAGAATTGTCCTTTGGCATCCCAAATGCCCAGATGAAAACAGCGATCGCTCAAATACATAATACCTGGTCACAATTTGTGGAACAAACGTCACTATTTTTGTTTGTTACATAACATATACTATGATTAAATATAAGCTTTATAACTTTGTGAAGAAACACGTTGAAGTCCCAGGGAAGGTCATTTGACAGGGGCTCCTGAAGGAGGTCACGTAACAGGGGCTCCTGAAGGAGGTCATGTGACAGGGGCTGAACAGGGAGGTCTGCGAGGGGGGGGAGTCTGCAGCCAGATGCCTCTCGCTGAGAGACATAGTCCCTCCAGCGTGTACTAGGTCTTCCCCGGGGGCCTCCTACCAGTGGGACGTGCCCGGAACACCTCCCCAGGGAGGCGTCCAGGAGGCATCCGGAACAGATGCCCGAGCCACCTCAACTGGTTCCTCTCGACGTGGAGAAGCAGCGGCTCTACTCCGAGCTCCTCCCGTGTGACCGAGCTCCTCACCCTATCTCTAAGGGAGCGCCCAGCCACTCTGCGGAAGCTCATTTCAACCGCTTGTATCCGCGATCTCGTTCTTTCGGTCACTACCCAAAGCTCATGACCATAGGTGAGGGAGGGAACGAAGATTGGCCGGTAAATCGAGAGCTTTGCCTTTCGGCTCAGCTCCCTCTTTACCACGACGGTCCGATACAGTGACCGCATCACTGCGCACGCTGCACCGATCCGCCTGTCAATCTCACGCTCCATCCTTCCCTCACTCGTGAACAAGACCCCGAGATACTTGGAACTCCTCCACTTGAGGAAGGACCTCTCCACCCACCTGTAGAGGGCAAGGCACCTTTTTCCGGTCGAGCACCATGGCCTCAGAGGTGCTGATTCTCATCCCAGCCGCTTCACACTCGGCTGCAAACCGTCCCAGTGCATGTTGTAAGTCCTGGTTTGTTGGAGCCAACAGGACAACATCGTCCGCAAACAGCAGAGATGACATCCTATGGTCCCCGAACCGGACCCCCTCCGGCCCCGGGCTGCGCCTAGAAATTCTGTCCATGAATACAATGAACAGAACCGGTGACAAAGGGCAGCCCTGGCGGAGGCCAACATGCACCGGGAACAGGTCTGACTTACTGCCGGCAATACGAACAAAGCTCTGGCTCCGGTCATACAGGGACCGAACGGCCCTCAGCAGAGGACCCCGTACTCCCGGAGAACCCCCCCCAAAGAACACCCCGGGGAACACGGTCGAACGCCTTCTCCAAATCCACAAAGCACATGTGGACAGGTTGGGCGAACTCCCATGAACCCTCGAGTATCCGATGGAGAGTATAGAGCTGGTCCACTGTTCCGCGGCTGGGAAGAAAACCACACTGCTCCTCCTGAATCCGAGATTTGACCATCGGCCGTAGCCTCCTCTCCAGTACCTTGGAGTAAACCTTGCCAGGGAGGCTGAGGAGTGTGATCCCACGATAATTGGAACACACCCTCCGGTCCCCCTTCTTGTAGAGAGGGACCACCACCCCGGTCTGCCACTCCATTTGCACCGCCCCGGATCGCCACGCGATGTTGCAGAGACGTGTCAGCCAAGACAGTCCCACAACATCCAGAGACTTTAGATCAGGGGTGCTCAATACGTCGATCGCGATCTACCAGTCGATCGCAAAGGTAGTATTGGTAGATCGCATTAAATAAATAAAAATTACACATTCTAAACGAATATATACAAAAAACTCCGGGCAAAGTGGAGATTTTTGAAAACTCCGTTAATGCATTTGTGTGTAGACAGAGATAACCAGAGTTTTGCGTTCTCGCACGCCACAGCCTAAATTCCTCTGATCACTGAAGCATGGATCATACTACCTTAAAAATTGTCCACTGTGAGATGCTCGCAGCAGCGAACATCCTCGCTCCACATCAGAGAGCAGCAAAGTGATCGCGGGGACTCACGCTCGAAAACAACCAAACCAGGACTAAACCAGGACTAAACCAGGGCTGAGGACGGGGTCAGTGCTTGTAAACATACGTCTTACTCTTTACTCTGAGTGTCTTCTATGACTGTAAAAGTGCCGTTACCGGCGTCTGCATCAGAACTCCGCCCACTTCTGTGTTTTTCCCCAACGCAGGACAGGACGTAAGAGACGCACATGTTTGGAATGTTACGAACGTGACTGATAACGCAGATGTGTGGATGCAAATTATTTTATAAACGGAGGAGGGGAAATATTTGGATTTAAAAAAAACAGGCATGGCACATGGACATGGCACCACAGTCAAATGACATCTGTGTTTTACTCAGTAATGTTTTACTGACACTTAGGTGACTGCACATGCGCAAACAACCCCGCTCAGTGCAGGAAAGCAAAACCACGACAAACTTGTCAGCGAGTTACCACCAATTTTCCGGACTATGCATCCCTGGCTGATTCAATTCAGTGCAAGTCATAAGAGTAAACTCGGGTAATGACAAAAAATGTACATAGGTAATTGTGTTGTGTTGTGCTATATTGGCTCATGCTGTTTTGCATGTACATAAACATACATTGTAGATATAAAGAATATTTTTTGAAATATATGATTTGCATTTTTGTAGTAGGTAGATCATTTTGACTTGATCCTTTTATAAGTAGCTCACATGCTGAAAAAGTGTGAGCACCCCTGCTTTAGATAGTCAGGGCCGATCTCATCCACTCCCGGCGCCTTGCCACCATGGAGGCTGCCAACCACCTTGGTGACCTCTGCCAGGGAGATGGAAGTATCCGCACCAACATCCTCAGCCCCTGCCTCCGGGGCGGAGGACGTGACGGGGGGGTTGAGGAGAACCTCGAAGTATTCCTTCCACCGCCCGACAATATCCCCAGTCGAGGTCAGCAGCTCTCCACCCCCACCATAAACGGTGTTGGCAAAGCACTGCTTCCCCCTTCTGAGGCGCCGGACGGTTTGCCAGAATCTCTTCGAGGCCGACCGATAGTCATGCTCCATGGACTCTCCGAACTCCTCCCAGACCCGGGTTTTTGCCTCTGCAACAGCCCGGGCCGCAGCACGCTTGGCCTGCCGGTACTGGACAGCTGCCTCAGGAGTCCCCCGAACCATCATGGCTCGATAGGACTCCTTCTTCAGCCTGACAGCATCCCTTACTGCCGGTGTCCACCACCGGGTTCGGGGGTTGCCGCCGGGACCAGCACCAGAGACCTTGCGACCACAGCTACGAGCCGCCGCATCGGCGATAGAGGAAGAGAACAGGGTCCACTCAGACTCAATATCCCCCTCCTCCGCGGGACCTGGGAGAAGCTCTCCCGGAGGTGCGAGTTGAAAATCTGTCTGACAGGGGGCTCAGCGAGACATTCCCAGCAGACCCTCACTATACGCTTGGGTCTGCCAGGTCTGACCGGCTTCTTCCCCTGCCAGCGGATCCAACTCATGACCAGGTGGTGATCGGTTGACAGCTCCGCCCCTCTCTTCACCCGAGTATCCGAGACACGCGGTCAAAGGTCAGATGATACGACAACAAAGTCGATCATCGACCTCCGGCCTAGGGTGTCCTGGTGCCACCTGCACTGTTGGACACCCTTGTGCTCGAACATGGTGTTCGTGATGGACAAACCGTGACTGGCACAGAAGTCCAACAACTGAACACCGCTCGGGTTCAGATCAGCGGGGCCGTTCTTCCCGATCACCCCTCTCCAAGTGTCACTGGCATTTCCCACATCGGCGTTGAAGTCCCCGAAGGAGAATAACGGAGTCCCCGGTTGGTGCACCGTCCAGTACCCCTCCCAAGGACTTCAAGAAGGCCGGGTACTCTGCACTGCTGTTAGGCCCGTAGGCCGTCACAACATTGAGAGACTTGTCCCCCACCCGAAGGCGGAGGGACGCGACCCTCTCATTCACCGGGGAGAACTCCAACACGTGGCGGCTGAGATGGGGGGCAATTAGTATGGCCACCCCCGCTTGCCGCCTCTACCCGCGAGAAACACCAGAAAAGTGGAGCGTCCAACCCCTCTCAAGGAGTTGGGTTCCAGAGCCCAAGCTGTGTGTGGAGGTGAGGCCGACTATCTCTAGACCAGTGTTTTTCAACCTTTTTTGAGCCAAGGCACACTTTTTTCACTGAAAAAATCTTGCGGCACACCTCCAGAAGAAAATGTAAAAATTTATACAGTACTAATGTAAAAAAATATATACTGTACATACTCTGTGTGATATATAAAGTATATCTTATCTTATAATGTATACAGTATACTCTGTAGCCTATATTCACAATATACAGTTATTCTCATCAAAATGCTTAAGTCCAGGCCTTGACATTAAGCTTTATTTAATATTTCTCGATACAATTAACAAGAGTTTGGGAATAAAGTGGCACTAACTGTGTGGAAAAAAACTAAGAAAATCCACTCTCTGCCCAAATAGTCAAATAATAACTCACACAAAGAACATGCATTTTTAGTGCATGGGAAAAATTTTGGTATCCGAGCTTTAAATTCAGGAGTTTTGGATGAGGGACACGGGAGGTCCTGAACGCGAGTCCATGGTTCTGTCCGGTCCGCATGTCTGTGGTTCTGTCCACTCGACTACGGTCTGCGCTCGGTACCCAGTTCAGAAGTGCGTTCGCGAGAGCTGTTGTACAAAAATGGTACATTTCATAGTTAAACCACTACAACGCGGCCACAGCTGCCCCGGGGCAGAGCGGAGGATGTTAATCCTGTTCAGAAACGGCATAATTCATTTTCAAAAACGTCTCTATCACTTTCACTTCTCACTCGCCACAAAGCTCTTGTCTCGCTCCCTCCCACATTTGTTGGTCGCATCCAATTTTACCTTTCTCGCCACAATGCTGACCTGTTACAGCCAGCATCCAATTTTTCAGTTTCAAAGTACTTAGCTATCTGCTGCCATCTACTGATTTGAAAAAGTATTACATGGTTACTCACAGTTCAAAACAAGTCACCGCTCGTCAACAGCGAATGCAGCTATTTTTAGACAAAGTAGACGAATTTCTCACGGCACACCAGACAATATCATACGGCACACTAGTGTGCCGCGGCACAGTGGTTGAAAAACACTGCTCTAGACGGTATCGCTCGACCTCCCCCACGAGCTCGGGCTCCTTCCCCCCCAGTGAGGTGACATTCCACGTCCCAAGAGCCAGATGTTGTGTGTGCGGACTGGGTCGCCGAGGTCTCCGCCTTCGACTGCTGCCCAGTCCTCTTAGCACCGCGCCACCACGGACCCCTCTGCAGGTGGTGGGCCCACAGGAGGGACTGCCTGAGCCCGGCCGGGCCCCGTGGGCTAAGGCCCGGCCACCAGGCGCTCGCATACGAGCCCCGACCCCAGACGTCACTGGTCTCATTTTAGTGCTACGCAAAACCGATTGAAAAAATATTTCTGTAGCAAAAAAATCCTGACCTGATAGAGCAAAACCAAGGCCATTTTCGGACTCAGAGCATCAACATTAGTCTATTCAGCTGGAAAACCCTGGACTATTTTCAAAAAATATTTTTTTGTTACCCAGTGTTATCATTAGATACCCTAGCTTTAAATAATCTCAAACTTGTTTCCCTGTAAATATTACATTTTGTTTGTCCCAACAAAGTCTTTCTTTAAAAGTGAAATCTTGTGAGCAAATTAGACAACATGCTGTACAGTCCTTTTTATCAGTGGCTTACTAGTAGGAGATTTTAGAGTCACTATTTGACAGACCTTGTTTTAAGGTGGTCCTTTGTTCATTTTTTTTTATTTTTCAAATAAGCTGATCTAAAGATTCCAAAAGTACATGCACGCAAAAACTAGTAATTAAACCGTACTGTTTAGACCGCAAGGAACTCGAAGATTAATTTGAATTAATATCTATCATTTGGTTTAAATAAACATGAAAAGTTAACCCAACTTAAAATATGTTGTGGATAGGGATTTTAAAAGTTTTTGTTATATATTCTGTGTATACCTGCAAAATGGCTATGACATAGAAATGTATGCAACCTTATGGGAACACACTTTGGTATTGTAGTACAGTTAATGATGATATTTGTCTCTATGAAAATTAGTATTCCTGAGACCAAGAAAAATGCTGATGGACAAACCACAAAGCAGGCAGCATTGAATCCAGGGAAAAATGGCACATCTTCAGACCAAATAAAAAGAACCAATCTCAATGGCCCTCTTTCATCTCCACAGGTTACAAAGGTAACACACACATTCTGTGTTATTCTTTTGTTGTTTTTTCTCACACAACTGGCCTTATTTTATGTAATTATTTTTTTTAGAAACTTGAGCCTGCCCAGCTCCGCAAAATTCAATCTATGGATGGAGGTTTGGGCTTCCCAATTTCTAGAAATGGTGTGAGCTCCCAGTCACAACCGAGGCTGTCCAGTTGGACCGGTGGTCTGCCTAAGCAGTTAAGTGGCCCAGCGGTCATTGAAGAGCCGTTCAAAAAGATGAAGAAGCCCGCTCCTCAAAGCCTGGTGCAGTCACGCTGCAACTCCTCTACCAGTTCTGCCAATGGAGTCAGTCGGGCCGAGGGGGACAGAAAACAGGGCAACGAGAGCAGGGGCATGGCAGCGTCTACCTCAATCAAGTCTTTGTCAGACTCATCCTCTGCAGACACTTCTGATTCAAAGGTGATTCACAATTCATGTTTATGAAAAGAATGGGTTACTCATTTTGAATCTCTTTCTAGGATTCCTATGGACCTAAAAGTGCTCCAGTAGGAGAAACCCCCTCCACCCCTCGCAAAAGCTCAAATGGAGTGGCATCTCCGGCCAAAAGTGTGGAGCGCTCTCAAAGCTTGGAAGAACAGAAGTCAAAAATTAAGACTGCATCTCTCAACAATATTTCAGCTGAAGCTACCAGCACCATGTCTCCTCCACCTGCCAAAAAACTGGCCTTGTCTGCAAAAAAGGTGACCAATGCTTTGCCACAAAGCTCTAAATGTTATTAATTTTGAAAAATATATTTGCTATGTTTTTGTTTTTTGTTTTATGTTAAGCAGCCAGTGCTCCTTCACTGTGACTTTATAAGGCCATAGATATTGTACAATCTTAATGGACCAATAGTTGCTTAATGACAGCAATAACTCACAGAGCTACTTTTTATATATTTTTAAACACAGGGACATCCTGTAAAGTCCAGTGACTTTGTTTATACCCAGTACTTAACATTTTGTTTATTGCCTAATGTGCCTGTCTAATCTGTCACATAGTTTCCTTGCTCAGTTTGTCTATATTCCTTTGTTTTCTTTTCTTAAACATTTCTAATTCTTATGACATCCTCTCTCCCTTTGTTCTACTCCCTTCATATTTTTCGCCATTCATTGTTTCTATTTTTATTTGAACCGTTTTTGTTACATTCATGCCTATTTTCTTTAGACCACCAAGTTTTTATTTATGTCAATAACTGCAGGCTCGCAGGGAGAGTCCCAACAGCACTGACGCTTCGCCCCCTTTGTCCTGCCAGCCGCCCAGTGACCCTATGCATCAAAGTCAACACAACCCTCTTTCTTTGTCATCGACACTCTCCCACAGGTACCACCGTCACAAACACTTGTTCCTAATGCGGACATGCCGAGAGCACTGCAGTAACTTATTGTGTGCAGAAGCAGTAATTGCGTTATGTTATTGAGACCTTCTCTTGGAGTGCTACTGCAACAAATCAAATGGCTTATATTACTAACTTTAAAGCTGGGGATCCTCAATTTCACACCAAGAGGAAGACTTGAACATGTATCAGCAATGCCCTTTTGACATATTGTTTATTTGGCAGATATTCATAATTTTTACTCCAAAGCAATAGTCTGTCTTCAGGTCTTTGGAATGAGATGTTTATTCAGAACTTTCAGGAGATGATTGGATTTCATCTTTTGAATGTGGTCTGAAACTGTTGTCCTCAAGGAATCATGGCTGTGGTGCCATTAAAAAAAAAAAAGACAATAGAATTCTCTAATTGCTTTTATTCATCTCTCCTTAGAGCTGACCCATTCCATTCACCTAAAGTCAATTCATCGCCCGTCGCTTGCACAAGTGGAACCTTCAAACAGCAGAGTGCCCAGTCACAACCTCTCAGTCACCCTCACAAAAAACAAAACTCTCTTCTCACCAATGGACTTCACAATCTGGCCCCAAATATCAGCAAGTCCTCCAGCCATCTCAACTCGACCACACAGCAGCACCGCGTCCACAGCGGTTTAGATCCAGAGATCAGTCATAAGAAAAAGAAACGGAAAAAGAAGAGGCGACATTCGGAGGTGGATTGTACAGAGGCACGAGCTGAAGCGGTTGAACCAGTCTGTGAGCCTCAGAATGAAAAGAAACGCAAGAAGAAAAGGAAAAAGCGCAAGCGGGAGAATGGCGACGTCGCAGAGAAAGGCTGCGTCCCGAACCACCTGGAGTCGACACCCGCTCAAGATGAAGACTGGTGCGAGGGAGGAATGTGGAGTTTATCGTCTACCTCTGACGCCCGAAAGGCTAAAGAAAAGGCAGTTCACGCAACCCCAGAACAGTATGAGCCCAATTCTATCAATGAGGATGATGATCAGGTTTTGTTAAAAAAGAAGAGGAAGAAAAAGAAGCTTCTGGAGGCTCTGCAGGCCGCATCTTTGTCTGGTAGTATTTCTGAAAGGTACGCAGGTCCACAACTGTTTTCACACAAGACCTGGTTTGTAAAGGCTGTCTTGACGTCGTCCCGTTTCTGTTCTCTTGCAGCTTTCAACAGATGACGGCGCCACTTATTCAGGGTGACTCGGGCGATTTGACGAAATTGAAAAAGAAAATGAAGAAAAAGAGACTAAAAGAGATTGAGCAGGGGGACGAGGGCGATCGGGTAGAAAAAATTGAGCCAAAAATATCAGAAGAACTGCCGACTGCAGAAAAGGAAAAAACTGGCAAGACGAGCAAAACGACTGGTAACTACACCTTCAAAACTGTCCTTGTATACGAGCTACTATGAGCTACTGTTTGAGGTACCCAGAATGACCACACAGTCATTTCAAATGCTGGTGGGATAGGTGACTATATGAAACTGATATAAGACTCTTAGGTTCAACAGATCATAGAAATATTCAGCTGCCACTTGGGTTTGGGCTGTTGCTAACCGGTTTTAGACATATTTGTTGTGGAAATAAGTCAAATCAATATTAGTTTATTTTTTATGATCTTTTATTAAACCTGTATATTCATTCTCTACTTATTATGAGTGTTGCAATAGAAAAACGTAGCCATGTATTTCTCAAAGACCATTATTACAGCTTATTTTCCTTTTGCTTTCTTGCACACGTCTATCCAGCTTCTGTAGTGTTGTGGGACAGTCAAGTGAAAGATGGGTACAAGCGCAACCATGCTCCTGTTGTGAACACCTCAGAGAATGCCCCAGCTTGTACTGCCCCAGTGTGGGATGGGAAAAAGACCAGTGGTGTGGTTGAGGAGCTGCTTAAGAATTCTTCAGATAAGGCCTATGGAGCGACTGGTGAGTATAACTTAACATTCTGTACGGATTCGTGTCTTGGCTCGTGGAGTATTTAGAATGGTTCTGTTTTCTAGTCCTCAGTTGGGAAGGTGAGTCGTCTGCGATCAGTCGAGATGCCGCTGAGGATACGCGCCACGCCAAGTGTGACACTGTGATTGATGAATGGGATGAAGAATTTGATAGGGGAAAGGTATCTTTGGCACAATACAATGTATATGCACGTATGAATGAATTTGTATGTAAGGTTATTTTTTTTTTCTCAACAGGTAAAAAAGGTAAAAGGCTATAAAAGAGAAAAGTGGAGGAGCGGCAGCATCTTTCAGAAGATCCAGGACCAGAGGCACAAGTGGTCAGTGACACCTGGTGGGAGGAGAGTATTTGGAATCAGACGCTGAGTTCAAACCATCTCTAACTGGACACATGGTCACCTTTTTCTAACGGAGACCATTTTAACTTCTACCTTATGTTCCTTGTGCGGCGGGAGAAAGGTATTCTGAATACAGCTGGTATATTATGGCCCAGTTAACATGAAATATACTTACAGAAATGTGAACTCTTTAATGGGGACTGTGCATATGACTGCAACGTGGCTTTGTGGAAATTCGATTAAGGTTCTTGGGGTAATGTGGCTGCTCAAAACTGTTCACAATGTTTGCTGCTCAAACAGTTCAGCCAAGAGCTTAGTGGTAAGATGTTGAAGTTACCTTTCAAACCCTTTCTGAAATTCTTGTACAAATTACTTAGAGAGATCACTATATTTTCAGAAAATTTTCATTGATGTTGGCATTGTTTGCTTTATTTTCAGATTTTTATTTTTTAATGTGTGCTCATGGCTTGTTTTTAAAGCATTTTACTTGCCTCTTGGTAAAATGTGTCTTAAGTTTTCACACTATTCTAACCATGCATGTGGTTCCATTAAGTTTAAATTGATTTATCAGATCAGATTTTTATCATACGTTTATTTTAGATGTTTTTTATTATCATTTAAAGTCAATTTCACAACCATCTCAAAGTGCAATTGTTTTTGTAAAGGTTTTTGGAGGGACCTAGAAAGCAGCAGTAAAATGGTGCAGCGATTCTAATAATCTCATGTCCACCAGTCATACATTCTCCTGTCTGAAGGTTTGACTTGACTTTCTGTAATTAACTTCACCACAATCTTAATGTATTTAAATAAACTGATTTTTGTTTTTATGTGCAAGCACAGTGTTAGAATGCATAGCAAGATGCTTAGAAAGGATTTCCACCATATTTTTTTGTTTCTATCTATGCAAACTACAGGACTCGCTGGTCACTGAAAACTGGGCTAAGCCTCAGGAAACTATTTCATCCTCTACCTTACCTTCCAACTGTTTAAAGCTGTTGCATCATGTAGATCTTCTAGAAACTGTTTTATACAATTGCCTCCTGGGCTATTTGATCATCATGCACTTTCCTGCTCAGATGTGTAGATGTTCTCACCAATTTAAAATGCTTTGTGAAATAGAAGATTGTACAGTCCCTCATGCTGTAAAGAAATGCATTTTGCCCATACACTGCCTTAAATTGGCGCACAGATGTTTAGGATTTTTAATATATATAAATATTTAGACTGTGAATGGTAAAGCAATAGTTGGATCAGCTGGTAGATTTCAAACCTGAGGTCTGAAATGTGCTGGTCATATGCCCGCAGAAATGTAATCCCTGTCATGAATTTGTACAGGACAGTGACTTCGTTCAGTGACTGGATCACCCACACATTGACATTAGTGGTTCGATACTTTGCACCTCATGTTCTGGGAGGAGAACTTTCACAGTGAAAGTCTTCAACTCCACAATAGTTCATATCGGTGCAATAAAGATGTGACTTTAGTCTTGCGTCTGTGTCGTTGATCGAATGGGCATCAATGGGATTACTGAATTATTGAAAATTGCTTAGAAGAATGTAGTGCTGAAGTAATGGGACCGAAATAATACAGCCCTATGGGTTACAACGTGACGTAACGTCATGGGCACGGCTCAAAGCGCACCGGCTCCTCAAGCGCAGCCGTACAGTACCGCATATTGGCAACCGTCAGGCAGAGGAACGAGAGCCGCAGTGAAGTCTGGCTCCATCCACCCATCCTTCTCACCAGAGTCTATACGCCCCTGACTGAGATGAAGCTGCTGTGAAGCGAAGCGCAGACGCCGCAGGATGCAGGGGACTCACGGTGAGACTGAGCCGTCATCTGCAGACTTCACTACATACACGCTCTGTACTATTCTATCCTGTACCATAACTATACTACAGACGATAGACAGCTGCAATACTGTTTACTGCTGCAATACTCTGTTTACTGCTGCGACGCATGAGTATGTCTTGTGGTTGCATGTTGTCCTGTTTGACATAAGGGTTTAACTTTAAACAGGTGGCCGCAGACTTCCGCACCATAAGGAAAAAAATATATAACAGTATTCGACACTGCTCCAAATATGAAAACTGCTAGACTTTTTAAAGTAGATCACTTTTCTTGTTTTTAAGGCAAAATTACATGTCAATGAATAATGCACGATCACGCTCGGTCCTGATCCCGCGCCATGTGCCAGACTTTAGATGATCCTGGATATGTCTTCGCATGCTCAAGTCTAGCAGCTCTGTCTCAAATATTTAACACACGTTTTCTGTCAGATAAATGCTCCTGAGAATAGAATTGCCCTCGTTTCACAACTGCAGCTGTTACTTTGTCAAAGTAGAGAAACACACTTAGGTGAAATGGCAGTGTTTACTTTCACTAAAACTGGCTCTTAAATATTGACACATTTAAAATGTATTTATACAATGATGACACATTGTTCAACTGTGGAAGATATTATATATTATATTATTATGGTCAGTATTAATATTTGAACTACCTTATTTGCAGTTGAAACACGTGTCCTCAGTCAGGTTTCAGTTCAGCCAATGAGTTATATAATAATCTGTTCATTTGGAATGCATAAAGAGGCATTTCACAGCCAAAGTATAATTAGTGATTACTACTCATGAGTTGTGGTGCTATGTAAATATAATTTTTCCGGCCTAATTTTCATAATTAATTACTGCAATAATGTATATTCAATTCACAACTCTTACTGTAAATGTATACATAAATATACAAATTAATTAATTTACTTGTGTCTGATGATGTTTCATTGAAAGCCCCTTTGAAAAGTAGATGTACTTAATAATAATAATGTAATATTTTTAAACACTTCATTTTGAGAATGTTCAATCATGGGTGTGGTCGTGTTAGTACTTTAGTCGTCACATGCAGAAGGAAGTAGAGTAGTCTGTAGGAGTGGTCCATTGCTGCTGTGGTTTTTGGGTGGTATCATATGGGTGTCATCAAAGTTTACAGTTTTTTCAGCGCTTTGAAGATTCAAAGGCAAATTCATATTTCATTAACCCTTTAATAGGTTCCTCAACCATTTTGTACATCACCTTTTTAGTCACTACATCAACTTGAAGATTGGAACTGAAATATACCTCTCTGGGCCATCTCACTTGGCACTTTAACAAATGTTTGAGATGCAGTTTGATGGTAAAAGGCCTAACCCTAACCCTAACCCCATTAAAACAAATAATATAGTTTTTTGGTTTTTTTTTTTAAATAAAAAACTAAATATTTGCTTTGTTGGTGCTGCTACATTTTAGAAAATCCAAATGATAAAGTGTTTTATTGGCTATATATCTGACAGAACTGCTTACTTCTGTATAGAGAGACCATGTTATGAAGGACCTGATTTATTTTTTCCGACTCGGGCTCTCTCTGCTTTGAGGCTGAAACAAAAGCAGCTAAAATAAGGCGATGCTTGAAAGAACTCAAAATAAAAAGTGGGTTGTGTGGGCTTGTATTTGACCTTGTTTTCCACTGTTAGAATTGTGATTGTGATAGTGAGCGTTGAGGTTAGACACAGCTTATGCAGATTTCAGAGGTGGCAAGTATTTTGTCCTGGAATCTGTACTTTACTTTATTGCTTATTTTCGGATAACTCATTAATCCATAATTTATTTCCATAAATATCTGTACTTTCTACTTCTTACATTTTAAACCGACTAGATGTGATTCATTGTGATTACCCAAGCTTCCAAGTTCAGACCATTTGGCACCATTCGCCTAATGTCTGTGTATATATATGATTTATATATATATATAACATTTCTGAAATATATTGTCAGTTGAATAAAAATGCATTTAACACATACAAACGAGTGTACTAAAAGATGAAGTTATCAAACTACACAGAAATGACACGAGGGAGAACACGTTGAATAATGACAGCCTAAGCCGTGGAGCTGTGTTTGGGTGAATGAAGCTCTTACCAAAAGTCTGCATGTACTGCTCAAGTTGTTCTTGTATTCCTCGTACTCATTGTTTTTTATTTTTGTAATTGTTTAGACATTTATTCACGTTTCATGTTAGATTGTCACTTTTCAGGATTAGCATGCAATACCAAGTTAATCCTCAACCAATCTAAATCTATTCTATCACTTTCACAACCACTAGGGGGCGTATCTGCTCATCTCTTCAGACCTCACCTCCCTCACATGGACAGTTTTGTCTCATTCACATTTGCTTGTATGCAAAACTCACCTCATAAATCAGTCTCTTTGTAATAAGGAAGCACTTGTCGACTGTGTATTAATGCTGACCGCTTTTCACATGAGTCTTTGTGACTTGCAGCTGCAGCAATTTTGACTTCCCTAAATTGTCACTGTGGAAAGTGTGGGGGCAGTGCTCGTGATGGGAAAGTTTATGCCCGTATAAAAAATGTAGGGTGCATCTGTTACATTTAATAATGACTCAAACAATTGTCCATTGATTTGATTGAGTTTTCTTTGCATAATGCTTTAATGGTGCTTGGTGTGTGTGTCTGTGTCTGTGTGTGTGTGTGTGTGTGTGTGTGTGTCTGTGTGTGTGCTCCACCTACTTGTTTCCATGGGCAGGTTCTTGCTTTGCCTGAAATCTTCCTTTCCATCTTAGCCACGATAAATGATGCCCTCAGACCAATAAGTTAAATATGTGTGAAAGTTACGCCACAAGTACTAGACACCCAGTCTATTTATGAAGATGGAGAACTTAATTACTATGCAGGCAAAGACACATTATAGCAAAGTGATAACCCCACCACCTTCTGAAAATGTATACACTGCAAAAAATGATAAAATGTGTCAAAAGTATTAGTGTAATTAAGTTTTTTTTCCCTTAGTACACGTACATTCTGACAGTGTCTAAATGACCAAATTTGCCACTGGAACACGCCATTTAGTCTTAAGTCAAGAACTTTTGGTTTATTTTCTCATTTCAAGGGAGACATTTCTTGCATCTTTTTAAAATAAGATAATTGTCCCAGTGGCAAATCTTGTTTTCAGGAGGTCAGAATGTGCTCAAATTAAGATAGATTTAGCCAAATTCGAGCAATTTAATTTTCATCACTTTTTGCAGTGTACATAGTGCCCTAATATATTAAAGAAAAATTCTTACCTTTTCCAATTCTTTTTCTTTATGTATTACTTCTAACTGTTTACTAAAATAATAGGTAAAATTAATGAGAGGCTTGATATGCAGTAAATCTTTAACCGTTGAGCAATACGGATGTGACTGACAACCCAATATTGCTAAACATAGTTGTGGTCTCTGCTGTCCCTGTGCAATGGCCATTACACGCCCTTGTTTTGTTGAATATCTGCTGAAAGAGAATGTAAAGCAGCACGTGGGAGAGAGCGAGGCAGACCAGGCAGAGGAGGTTGCCAGGAGGCTGAAGCACCAGGACAAAAGCAGAACTCTTATCTCTATAATCAAGCAAAAAAAAAAAAAAAACATCTAGGGAGGAACTTTCCAGGCACGAAATCAGGCTGACGAGAAAGTGTGACAGGCCGAGCTGCGCATTCACCTCTGTGGGGATTAGGGCTCGACAGCAAATCACAGGAGGCGATCTGAGGACAAGCCGTTCTGGACTTTGCATTCACATCGGGGAGCCGGTAGGACTTTCCCTGTGTGTGCAATGGGGACCGTAAGCGATCTGTGCGTGTCCAGCCTTCAGACCTTCTTGTGCCCAGTCAATTCCGGTCAGTATCGAGAACCTGTTCTGATAATCATTTGTTGACTTTTATTTTGATATTGATATTTTATTTTCTTATCTTTAGCAGTTTGAATTTGTCAAATAACTTGTTGGTTTTAGAAAGTGCCATATCTCATTTGTATAGTTTTAATTTGTCATATGATGTGTTGGTTGTGGAATGTGGTATGTTTTTTGAATTAACTGTGGAAATATTTATCTTAAAATAATGTTAAAATCATTTTGGAAGCGGTCATTGAATTGTTAGACAACCCAAGTTTTTTCGAGGCAGATCTGATTGGGTTTTTTTATACAGACTTCACAGTACATGGTCTATAAAAGATACAATTCAATTAATTTTTGTATTGCCCTTAATCACAACAGTAGTTACCGCAGACGTCTTTACAAAGTTGTCAATTTGCCAACACAGATCAGAGAATCAAACACAGGAAATGAAAAAGCAGAGCCGTTGGTCTATATTGGCAGATGACTCATTTCTATACATGAAAATGAATGTCCATTAACGTTGAATGTCAAATGTCCTGGATCGTCACCACTGTCCTGACACAGATAGTTCCTGCATTATGAATACGTTGTGTTTCCCATGCACACACACCCCGCCATGTGTTGACAGGACCGGCTTCACACAGGTTTGTGGTGAATCAGCTGACTGCAAAGCAAAGGGGATGCTGTCTCAGTGCTTTCAAAACATCACAATCAGCACAATCCCAGCTTGATGAAATGTTTAAATGTTGAACACTCAAAAGAGGAACCTCTGTATTTGAACTTGACAATGATCAATGATCTTTTTGACTCAAATGTCACGAAGAGACCAGTTTTACCATATTTAAATTATCGTCAAACTAAATACCACTTTTGTTACTTCTTTCAACAAAATCGCAGAGAGAGACTCGGATGACAAATGAACAGTGATGGTGTTTAAAACATGAGGTTGTGTGATTAATCAAACATGAACACTTTTTATCTGTTTATCTGTGAATGTTACAGAACGACACAGGCATGATAAGCGTGACTCGTTATGTCCCGTAAAACAAAGGCAGACTCTGTGCGCAGGCATTCCAGTACCGGATACA